GCGAAAGATTAATTACTAGAATATCATTCGTTTAACGGTGGGTTTATTTGACGATACGGCTGACTTATAATTTTCCATCCTAGTTATGGGTGATTTATTAGTAAAAGATTAATTACTGAAATAGTATTCATGTTTCAGCTGGTTTACATTGTACTTGATGGCTGGTTTATTTAGGCTGAGTTATGTGTTCGTTTGGTGGCTGACTTACCGATTTTCCATGTCATCATCCATGTCATCAACTCTTACTAACCATGTCATTACTAACATTGAAAAGATAAAATAAGGATTTATGTTAGAGACGCAGAGTCTTATTCTTCATTCTTCATCTTTTTTATCTATCTTCTTCATCTTATTCTTCATCTTTTTCTTAGATCTTATGGATCTGGTAATTATTTTTCGGCAACTGGGTCTAAAAACATAGATTTAAAAAAATTAAAAATCTGAGACAGATTTACTGTAGTCGTCGTCTTTGATGATGGTCGGTTGAGAAGAAGCTTCCTCTCCTCCAGTGTCATGTATGGTGGTCTGACATCTTGTTGTTCTCTCTCCCATCGAATTCGCCGTCTTGCAGAAGAATAAATAATCAAAGAGATAAATGAAAAAGCTAAGTTCCATAAATTGTAAGAAAAAAGAGAATACGAAGAGATGATGAATTTGAAAGCTAATTTTATATGTTTAATGACTCAGATTTTGTATCATCTGAATATGAGGTTCAAACTTAAGAAGAGCTTAAAGTTTTAATATTGTGTTCAGGGTTGACTTAATGATTTATTCTCGCCCAAAATACGAAACGTCGTAAAAAAAATTACACTTGAAGGCTGACTTATACCATTCATATACGTTATGGCTGAGTTATGCATACGTTAGGTCTGAGTTAAGCATACCTTACGGCTGAGTTATACATACGTTACGGCTGAATTATGCATACTTTACGGCTGAGTTATGCATACGTTACCGCTGAGTTATAACTCATCAAATTGCAGCTGAGTTATGCATACGTTATGACTGAGTTATGCATACGTTATGTCTGAGTTATGCATACTTTACGGCTGATTTATGCATATGTTATGGTTGAGTTTTGCATACTTTACGGCTGAGTTATGCATACATTACGGCTGAGTTATAATTCAGCAAATTGCAGTTGAGTTATGCATACATTAGGGCTGAGTTATGCATACTTTAGGGCTGAGTTATGCCTATGTTACAACTAAGTTATAATCAAATTATGGCTGAGTTTTGTTATAATCAAAGGCGAGTTATGGTTACAATACGACTTTTTTTATAACTAAGTCGACCAAAAAAGCTTCTAGCAAGTTCAAGATTCATCATCCAAACTTAAATTGAAGTTAGAAACCAAAAGAAAAACTAAAATACGAGTCTATAGATTAGGAATCAAGAGACATATGCATAAACAACATAGATCTAGAAAAAGAATAAAAATTGGAGACAGATCTACTGTAGTCGTCGCCATCTTCGATGGTGGTTGGTTAGAGAAGAAGCTTTCTTTCCTCCAATATCTGTATGGTGATCTGACATCCTGATGTTCCTTATTGTATGGTGATTCGGCATCCTGATGTTCCCTCTCTCATCGGATTCGTCGTCTTTCAGAAGAAAAAAATAGTCAAAGAGAGTGATGAAACGGTTAAGTCCCGTCAATTATAAGAAAATGAGAGAATGATTTTTGACCTTTAGATTTCATTTAATCAATGGCCATAAATTGTGATCCTTGAAAAAAAAAAGATTAACCAATGATAAAGAAGGGTGAGGATAGAGAAAATAATAATTTTGAACCCTTAGATTATAATCAATCAATGGTCATGGTTGCGTAATGTTCCCGCCCACCCCAGTGTTTCGCAAGTATTTAGTCCCGCCCAAAAATACGAAACGTCGCGATTAAGTTACACTTTGCGGCCGAGTTATTGATATGTTATGGCTGAGTTATGTTTAGGATAAGTTTATGTTTTAGGGTTTATGGTAAATTATTTGGGGTTTAGTGTTTAGGATTTAGGTTTTATTGTTTAGTTACCATTATAAAATATAAGAAACTACACAAATACGGTTTAAAAAAATTATATGGTACTAGAGATTTTTTTCCGCGCTACGCGCGGAATACGTCTTTTGAAATATTTATTATTTTCATTTATATATTTATTTTTAGATTAGATTTAATTTTAGATTTAGTATAGTATACCATAAATAAATACACCATTAGAAAAAAATTCTCCTAACACTTCAAATATATGTTATCAATTTGGAAACAGTTTGTTGAACATGATTTTAGGATTGAAACAATTTTTAATATGTAAGATATAATATTTTATTTATTAACTTCACTTTTGTTGTATTGCTTTGATTTTATTTCTATGTCTCTTTTGTCTAGAATGTTTAACTTTTCATTTAGATGTTTTTTTATTAATATAAATTGATTTGTCAAGCATAATAGATGTATTTTTGATTACTTGCAAATTGTCTCTAATTATGTTGATAAATATAAGACACCTATAGTATAATTTGTGCCTTGTTTACTTTCTCTAGGTTTAATTATGAGTTCAGTTATTCTGCTGGTCTGTATCATTTTAAGGATCTAACCTGATTTTCCATTCGGCAATATGCAAGGCAACAAACTTGAAAATTGTAGTGGAATTTATGTTTTTCAAAGTTACACCTTCAACAAATATTATATTTATGTTTTCATGATATGTTTTAAAACTACTAAATTATCACTTCACTTTATTTTCTAAATATATCTCTCAGTATGATAATTTTGAAAGTAGCGCTAAAATAGTATTTTATAGTTTATAAAGTGATAGTATTTCAAAATATATAATTTTTGAAAAGTTACTCGGAATATTTCTTAAGTTATAACTAATTTGTTTAAATACTAAATTTCTAACATGTTTTAGAGATATGATATATGTGTATAACTATAATTTAATAAGAAAGGTTTGACATTTTAAAAGATTCAACATGAGTCTTTTAGCTATATTATGTATCTTTCAACTTTTCATATTTATTTAAAAGCAAGGTAACTATCCCTAACTGGACATTTTCTATCCCTAACTATTATAAATAAGTTTGTCAAAAATTATGGATTTTAATTTTTCAAAATCTTTTGAACTTTTCACAGTTTATAAGACATAATGTATGTTTTTTCTGTTAATTAAATATTTTATGTTGATTTTTCAGAGAGATGTTGTATCAGTTTTTATTTATTATTTTATTTGTTACTTTAACTTTTCTAATTGATTTTCAATTTATTTTGATAGATAAAATTCTAGAGAAACTTGTCACAAAAACTTGTGAAACACTGCATAAAACATCTATAATATTGGGGTCGTACCCAAGCCTAAAAATCCATTTAGTTGTTTGAGAATCTCTATAATATTATTTGAGAAGTCAGTTTCCTACGTGTCGTGCTCACATTAACTCTCGCGATGGTTGATTACATTGATACCCTTAATGAATTGTTAAATTTTAAGATTATTATTAATTTTTTATTTAGTTTATTTTTACTTTTTTCCAAATAACATATATAATAAAAAGGAAATATTACTAAAATTGTAAAAAAAAATTAAAAACGAAAATATATGTATATAATATGACTTTATTAAAAAGGAAAGTTCACAAAATAGTAATACTCCCATTAATATATAATTTAAATAACATAAAATATATTTTCAAAATAATAAAAATATATATGTTCATGAATATTCAAAAACTTTATCAGTTACAATTTAATTCTTTTGTAGAATTTAGATATATGCATGAGACTTCAAAATATTATCATTATATTCATTTATGTAATTTGAATCAAACACTTCAGCTTATTATTTATTTCATTTTAAGAACAATATATATTAAGTTATACATAATTTAACTATAATATATTTACATATCTAAGACAATAACCAACCGAAATGAAAATAAGGAAATTAAACAAAGTTTTATTATATTTAGAATAAAAATATTATAGCTGAATTCGAAAAATATATATTATCCAATATACCAAATTGATAACCATACCGACTATTGATCCAAAAAAATAATTAAACCGACAATAATATATCCAAAGTCATATGTATAATTAAAATAATATAATATTTACTAATGTAAATTATATATATAAATTTATTCAAAAATAAAACTAAATATCAATCAATTATTATAAAATTTTATTTTTATGAATATTCATACCTGTGCATGAGCACGGGAAAATCATCTAGTAATAGAATTATGCCATCAAGCAACTGCTTTAATTGTAATTCTTGCTAAACGATGTGCTGATCCTGCGCCACCTCAGAGGAAGATACCTGTCCAGGAGCTGGAAACAATTTCTGGTTGAGAGGACACGAAGCGTAGTCCTGCAGAGAAACCCGGAGAACTCAAAACAGTTGACAACTGCAGCTTATGATGCCTTCTTTGTCTCAGTACACTTTTCTTCCTCCATCGAGTTTTGTGTAGTGCCTCACGAGATACCCGTCCTCCATCTGGAACGAAGCGTAGTGAGCTGCAAGTACAAGCTGTTCCTGGAGCTTGGAGAACGCGAAAGGAGTGAGGACCAAGGCTGCGTGAGATTCCATGGGAGCGCCCATTTTTAGGCTGATGTTTTGAAGATTCTGCTGCATTATTTGTGTGGCTTGGTCTTTGAAATCCACAGCAACAACCACCTGCACATACAATCCATTAACCCTATTGAATATAAGGTTGCATCACTAATAAGAACATAGAAAAGGCCTAAAAGCTTGACCAGCACTGAGTATAATATAGGCAGAAGAAGAAGCAAACATACTTGTTCTACAAAGTGAGGTAGAAAAAATATCATATTTTTTTATATCAAATAGTCTTTAGTTGCACCATTTTCTTCATCAATTTTCCGGTCTAAGCTCTCACCTCGGTTAGCACTGGATATTTATAAAGCATCAACACCAGTATTATCAGTTTATCACCCATACGATGAGACAAAGCGTGAAAAAAAACATTGCCAACAATTGGAAAAAAAATCAAAAGAAATGAAGACTAAAGTGAGTAGGAAAAAACATCCGACCAATCACAAAGCGTATGACAACTCCTCTTTCCTCAAGCTTTTTCAAAGCATCATCTAAAGAGAAGAAAATGTTTTTTTTTAAAGTAAATCATTGTTGGATGATGAGCAAACATTGATGGTGATAGTACTATTACTCTAACCTTGTGACATCCAAGAACCTCTAAATCTATTGTGTTTCAAGTGACTCCCAAAGCCTGTGTAAACTCCAATAACAGCAAGCATCTTCTTCTTCCCTGAAGAAGAAGAAAGACTTTTCTGGTTGTTAAGATAGCCTTGACTCTTCGCCTGTCCCAACTCCATTTCACTTTCAACAATTCTTCTCTCAAGATCTCTATTAAAACAATTAGTTACATCTTCTGTTAAGTAAAAGAAGATGATACGAAAAAACATCATATCAGAATTTAAAAAAAAACAGCTTACTTGCATCCAAGGACCTTCAGCTTGTCATCCACCGTAAGAGCCTTAGGCCTCTACACTCCACAAGAACATGATCAACATTGAACACAATAAAAAAGTTATTCAGATTGAGGAATGAAACATTCTATTGAAAGATTTAAGAGAAGCAGAAGAAAGACCAACCAGTTCATAATGTTTCTTAAGCACAGTGTTTAGTGCGACTCTGTGCTGCGAATCTTGCCACAACCTAAACGTAACAAACCAACAACACAATAACAGAGATCAGAACCAACTGATACGGATCCACCGATTGAATCTAAGTTTGTGCGAGATTATGATTATATGGATCAGACAAAACCTCAACTCGCCTTTTTGTGGTCTGAATTCGACTTCTTTGAAGAACAACAATTCGTCGGATTTGGCGGAGGACTCAGAGTGGCGAATCGCCTTGCCGTTTGTTTATTCGACATAGGATCTCCGGAGACAGCTTCGGTGGAGGAGACACCGGTTTTGCCGGTATGTTTGATCGGTGGGGATTTTCCATCGTTTTCATCGCTGGCTTGAGAGGATTCTATGGATTTTGATTGGAACCAAGAAAGGGTGAAAAAGTTTATAAGAAATAGATAGAGAGGGAGGTGAAAAGAAAGACATTAAAGATGGGAGTAAAGTAGAGGTTTGATTGATAGAGGTGATGAAGTTTGGGAGAAGGGAAACGGAGAAGATGAAGTGAGTGAAACCTAAACGATCGACGACACAAGTGAATCGTGATATTGTTTTTCCTCGAGCGGATGTGACGTGGAAAAATAAAACTATCTGATTGGCTGAATATTTATGCATACGTGGATATCTTCTCCTTGGCTTATTAAGCCCTTTTAATAGTGTTAGATACTTTGTATTTGGTGCTTTAACACCTATATAGACACATAAGGTTTTAGGTATTTGTAAGACAACAAATACCTCAAGATCATGATCAATTCAAAACTTATAAATTCAATGAAATATAATTTAACTAAATATAATCAAAATATATTGAAATGTTAAAAAATAAAAAATAAAGATATCATCAAATTATATTGAAATGTTAAAAAATAAAAAAAAACTTATTTTTACTGTAAATATAAAACCAACAATATATGTTAGATTGTACTTACATAAAATTATATATAGGTAAATTATTTATGATTTTAATGGGACTACATATTTATATGATAGTTTTTAAAATATTATTATTTTATTATTTTATCGATGTGTGTTATATTTTACATCGATTCAAATTGGGATTGGTGAAATTTATTAATTTGTAAAGATTATTAATTTATCGAATATTAATTAATAAAGGTTCTAAATTCATACAGTACAAACACACAAATAATTAATGTAACCTCTATTAATTAATTTATCATATCCCCTATATATTAAAGGAGAAGCATTACAACATTGTTTTGTAGCCACATGTCATCACCACAATCATTCTTAGAATCCTTAGAAAAATATGTTGGTCTATCTAAATATATAATAAGCTTTTTATTAAACTAATCATAAATGACTTATTAATTTTTTTTCATTATTTCCTTAAATAAAAAAAAACGGAATTGCCAAATATGATTAAAGAATATATGACATTTAATGATTTTCAATAATAAAGATTTGATAAAAATTAGTGTAACTTTTAAATTTTAACTTATTAAAATAAATTAAACAACCACATTAACTATATAATTAAAATTTATATTTTTTCGTATATGCTATACTTTGAACTTTTTAAAATGACTATAAAT